GGGAAGCAAGAGGGAAAAATCAGGGTAGAGTACTGGATGTTCACTGACAGGAGCTGGAAATAATACATAGGTACAGAAAGTGGAGCATGTTTTGGAGAGTAGAAACCGAACTGGTTCCGGCATGACAGAGCATAAACAATGTAATGTGGTCTTGAGAGAGTGGGGGCGAAAAGAGAATGGACACGAGGATGAAAATTTGAAAGAGTCAAGCTAAGAAGGCAATAAGAGTGCAAACACAGCCAGTGATATATCCATAAATCGCTCACCTATCTCAGATAATCATTGGAAATGGACATCCCGCGTGAATCTAATGCCAATTGCACTGAACATAGCTGAAGGACAAGAATAGGGGGCCAGTTAGGCAATACATCGGGATGATCAAATGGTCAGCTGAGGTGGTGGCAGGCCTGTCATATGCCAACAACCTAGACTTTTTTTTTCTGCATCTCTTCTCTCTCTCTTCTATATCTCTATCTCTATCTCTATGGGCCTCGTTATACCCTCCTTAGTAAATCCTCAGGAATTAGGATGAGGTCCTTGGAAAATTTTCCGGTTTTCGGCGTTGTCGTTACAGTGTCACCGCGTCCTAATTCAATGGGTCCCAAGGAAAACCCTTGGAGGTCTCCCACGGCCAATTTCATACGCACATATGTCGCCGCGGGGCTGGATGTCCGTCGGTGCGGTGGGATGTCCGTGTGTCCTCGGGCTTGGTCCCGTGGCGGTGGCAGGGAGGCCTGGGCTGGGGGGGGAAAGAGGCGCGAACATCCCTGTTCGAATTTCGAATTTCGAACCCTTCGCTGAAACGCGGCCACACCCGGGGTGTCCAGACTGGTGCAGCGCACACCGGAGCGAAACGTCTGCGGAGGAGTGCTGGCGGCCATCGCTTAATACACCGCATTGGAAGGCGGGCCGACGCAACGCGGACGGTGACGGTCTCGGAGTGCGACAATGGTCAGGATTTACACTTTTGTATTCGACCCGCAACAATTGTGCGGGCCGCCATAGCTGAGCGCACACGTCAGGCCTTCGTGAGACATGGGTAATGCTACTGCCGTTCTCGTCTATGTGGAGACATCGGAGCGAGGGTGTGGGCGAACGAAACAGTGATGGGCGGTTCCGCATTGCGCGTCGTTAAGATGGAGGGAGAGTTGCGGGGCGGTGCGAATACGCTGACGACTTTCCAGAGAAATGCGGTGGTTGCAGTTGTGTCGGCAGTCGCCATGTGATATCGCATACAGAGAACGACAGCTCGCTTGAAGATGAGGTTGTCCATTCGCAGGCAGCGCCAGCTCATGCAACAAGTGATGGAGGCGCCCGACTGTGTGTCGTTATCAGAATCCATTGTGGAATTTTGCTGCGCCATGGCGTCTGGTGTCATCCCGCGGGCAACTCCAAGGTGGTGGATGAGGAGAAGGACGAGAGGGACATGGGAGAATCTTCGGAAGATGGACGACGCGGAAGACGGGTACTATAAGGAGAGGCTGAGGATGTCCCCTAGGGTGTTCCGGGAGATTGTGGAGGCGTTGTCCCCTCATCTGCAGCTGAGGGTGACATTCTACAGGGTGCCTTTGATGTTGGATCACATCATCGCGTGCGCGCTTTATCGTTGGGCGAGCGGGGAGACAAACGAGAGCAGCACATCGTCATTCAGCATAGGACGCGCATCAGGCTTGATTGCGGTGGAGGACGTAACTTGGGCACTTCTGAGGGTGTACCGGGAGAAGATCGTTTGGCCTTCCGGGTTGCGGCGGGTGGTCGTTCTGTGCGCCTTCAAGGCCAAGGGTTTCCCCAACTGCTATGGCTGCATAGACTGCACACACATATATGTTGACAAACCGACGAACGCACCTTCCGAGAACTACTTCGATAGGAAGCATCGTTTTCCAGTTGTTGCGCAGGTGGTGGTGGACTTGGACTTGTGTGTCACAAACGTTTTCCTAGGGTATCCCGAGAGCTGCCACGACATTCAGGTGCTTCAACTTTTCAGTCTCTGGGTGCGTGCGGAGGAGGGGGATCTTTTCCGTGGACCTGTCGTGGTGTTGTCATTCGGGGTGAGGACACATGGGTACGTCCTGGGGGATAACGACTATCCTCCTATGGAGTGGATCGTTGTGCCTTACGGAGAGACCGATCAATGCGCCGATGAGGAGAGGTTCGACAATATGAAGAAGGTCGCCAAAGGAGCAGTGGAGAGAGCTTTCGGAAGATTGAAGGGGATGTGGAGGCTCTTCCTCCGTACACACAAAACAAATATGGACACTCTCCCGCAACAGTTCCAAGCAGTGTGCATTCTACACAACATCCTCCTCGATGCTGGCATAGACTTCGATGAGAACTTGCTGTGGGAGGTGGATGCGAATGGCGTGCACCGGTGAGTGGAGTAGGGCTCGGATCAACCTCCCCACCCCATTTTGGAGAACTTCAATCGTCCCCGTGTGTTGGCCCTGCGCGAAGCGCTGACGGAGCATATGAAGCACGAGTGAACACGCGAAGTCTCCCCACAGCGGTAGCTTGTGCGGCGATCTCTTACGGAGGGCAAACGTGGTGATGTCTGAGATTCGACGGGTGTTGTAGTGCTCCGGCAACAGTGTCGTGCAGTGTGATTGTTGGTCGATTCCCTGTATTTGTTTTCTGTTTTTTTTTTAATGTAGTTTTTTTTTTTTTAATCCCCTTTTCTTGGCGTTAGTTTTCTTCTGTTCTCGAACATTGGAAGAGCGAGGGAGCGGTGCTCCAAAATGGTCTTCATGTGGACGGCGGTATGGCCTTTGTTATATGATTTATACATGTTTGTCTCCTTGCATGCCCTTCTGTCGCACTTTCAACGATTTTTTCTGCGTGTGGACAGGTTACGGTTCAAAGCTTTGTCCTGGGAATTTTTTTTCAATGTCATCTGCATGCGTTGGTTTATTTTTCGAGCATACACACATCGAATGCTTGAATTGCTCACGATTTTGGTCATTCTTGTTTGAAATGCGCATTTCGTTTCTCTATCGGCCGCAATTCTGCAACGCAGCAAACCTTGTGATCGATATACGTTTTGATTAGCACACCATAACTACATTCCTTCGAGCGAACAAACAATCAATCAATCAATCAATCAATCAACCAATCAATCGATCATTCACACATTTGATCATCAGATCAATCGATAAACCACCCACTCGATTAATCCATCAATCATTCAAACATTTGAGCATTCAATTAATCGATCAATCAATCTATTAGTGGCAGTTAATGAATCGAACAATTGAACAATAACTCAATCAATCCAGCAATCAATCAATCACAGTAAATCAATCAATCTATCAATCAATCGACCAATCAATCAGTCAATCAAACAATTAATCAACTAATCAATCGATCGACCAGTCAATCAATCAATCAATCAATCAATCAATCAAACAATCAAACGATCAACCAATCTAACAAGCAAGCAATCGATCGATCGACCAATCAATCAATCGATCAATCAATCAATCGATCAGTCAGTGCATCGAGAAACCGATCGACCCATCAATAGAGAAGTCGATCAACCGAACAGTCGATGAGACAGTCAATCAAGCCTGCGACGAAACCCTTTCTGCCCTGAGAGAGGACAACTATTAAAAAAAAAAAAAAAAAAAAAAAAAAACGGCAACAACAACAACAACAAAACAAAAACAAAAATCATAA